GTCACTGGAAGACGGGAAAACCTAAAGCCACAACACACACAACGTTAACTGAACACTTTACACCACAGAGAGAACGAGGAACGGAGGCCAATAGACGTTTATTTTGAAAATTAAAATTCGCGGGGTCTGTACAGAAGGGGAGCTAGTTTACAAACGGTCTTATGAGTCATCATGTAAGTTTAGTGCGTGCAGGGCTTGCTCTTCTTCTTCTAAAGCGTTTATTCTTGCTTGCCCTGCAATAGAAAGAAAACAAAATCTATTAACAACATCATACATGATGATTTTAATCCCGTTACAGTCGATCTTCGCGCAGTCACAGTGGAGCGTTGGATTATCTGTTCAGACAAACAAAGGCTCTCAACATTCAATATAAGATATTAGGGAATATAACGCTTATACAAAATAAGGAAGTGAATGAATACTTGAACAATACTGTTTTGGCATATGCTTGGTTGTTTGGGGTCAACTCTTAACCAACCAACCTAAGCTGTTACAATTCATTTACTTCAAGTAAACAACAGAAGAGGGTCAAGGGGTTATACAATGTTGAATTCCATTCTCACAGTTTTCCGTGTTTACAAGTTTCCTATTAATCCTTTCTGTTGCTTCCTATGACTGAGAAAGTCATTTACCCGATTTCCGATTTCCTGGTGCATCCCAAATTATTTGAGCTTCAATTTTAAACTTTTGTGATAGACTTTATAGAAGGCTTTACCTAGATCAATAGAAATCTCACCTGCCGGCCCCAGTTGATTCAGTTATTGTAGTGAAGTTTGTGAGATGTGAAAGACCTTTCTCAAAACCATATTGCTTCCCGGCTAAAATTTCCCTTCATCACACAGTTCAGAATAGACATCGAAAAAATCTTTCCATTGAATTGATGGCTACAAACGAATCCAGGAAGAATGTCACCAGTTTCACTGAGCCTATATGGTTTAAGATGCTGAAGTAATCGTATGTCAACTGTGTTCTCGATATTTCGAATATCTATCAACAATGCACCACTGTTGTAATTAATGGTTGATCTCTTCCATCATCAGTAAAGAACCCTACTAAAATATTTTAACAAGACTTCATCTTTGAAGTCAAACCTGATCATATACTGTGTGAAAATTCTCAAATACTAGTGAAAAACAGCATGATTTCCGTCAGCTGATGACCGTAAAAATATATAACAGTAATATTTTTGGTTGCGTGAGTGCCCACTAAGTCTAACAGAGAGAACAGTTTGTTTTAATTCGCAACGTATGGGTTTAAATACATACTATACCTCTGCACACTCTATCACAGTCGTCAGGAGTGAAAAGAACTAAATGATAGACTGACGACTTCCACCAGTGATATGAATCAGTCGTGGAAGGTATCGCAGCTACGTCGGAGTGAATTACTGTGTGCTGCTTACCACGTCATTTTACCATTCGGGCAGAACAGAATATACATTATGTGAACAGAAACAGGCATCCTCCTCCGAGTGGATGACAATCTCAGTTTTCGAGTTGCTTGCAGCAACGTGAGCAATTAATTTTGAGTATACAGCGACAAGCATTAACCTGGAAAATCCTATAAAAAGAGCGGCAAATAAAGGATTAAGATTCATAAAAAAATTTAACACGTGATGTAATTAGGAATTAGATTTAAATGAAACCATAATAATTACAAATCACGAATCAAAGGAAAAGAAAAATACAAATATTAGGTTCAGTCAGTCAGTAACAACGTAGAACTTCGTACGTACGTACATCAGTTCGAGTTGCCATACCACAATAGCACAGAAATGAAAGAGTGGAAGCACCTGCTCCATTGTAAACGATTTTGAGCCACGTCACATTCAATTTCTCTAACCATCGATTGTTATCATCTCGCGGATGTAGTATACACCTATCAACATGTCTCAGTCCACTTGTCACTGGCTTCATGGATTTGTGCCACATTTTCGTCTGGCCGCCCCTAAATTTCTTCCAACCTAACCCTACACCACAAGACATCGCACGTAGGGGCAGTCAGTGGTTGCGCACATGTAGCACGTGTCCTAACCATCTCAACTGATATTGTTTAACCACTTCATCAATTGATTTGCCATCCTTACCTAGTACCCGTTTCCTAACAACTGTGTTACTTACTCGATGGTCCCAGGATATACGAGCAATGTTTCGAAGACACCTATGGTCAAATACTAGTAACCTACGGATATCCTCTACTCTTACCGGCCATGTTTCACTGCCATAAAGTAGGACGGAACGAACTGCTGCGCAGTAAACGTGTCCTTTGGTTGATAGACGGATATCTTGCCTACGCCATAAATGACGCAAGTTGGTAAGAGCTAGCCGAGCCTTCTGTATCCGTGCTGAGATTTCGTCACACACCAGACCACAAGGACTGATGAGACTTCCAAGATAAGTGAAGTGGTCGACACGCTCAATTACTTCACTCCCTATCATTAGTTCGGGTGTCGATGCAACCCAATACTGAAGCAACAGATCGCATTTCGAGGGGGAAAATCGCATGCCGAACTCTGGATTTTGTCAACGTCTTCATCAAGTAGAACTATGTCATCTGCATATTCCAAGTCAACAAGTGAATCTCCCGGTAGAAGTTCAACACCTGGAAATTTAGATGAGGAAAGTGTTGTCTCTAGAAGCACGTCGACGACAAAGTTGAACAAGAATGGAGAGAATGGGCGGCCCTGACGAATACCACTTGAGGTAATCAATTCTGATGACAGTGAGAGACTTTAACAAATAGATTGAGAGTAACTTGAGAATAGCAAATAATATAATAGTAGCCAATAGACTAAATGAAATCATATGATAAAAGGGATGTCAACATACACATAACATGGTTACTCAATAGTTCTCTGATAGAAATATATGTAATAATAATTTATAGCAGTTACCATTCAACAATTCTTCGTTAGGAAATAACACCTCCTCTTCTCTTGGAGATTCGACGTTCAAATCCTGACACCATCCTCTTCCACGAAATAGTGTTGGATCTTAATATCCTCAAGTTGCAAACAATATGGCTTTATTTAGAACATAGTTCCCATATTGACTAGTGGATCCATTAGGATTGACTTTGTAGAATTACGGTCTACTTCGTTTTTAGTACAGCCTAATAATATATCTAATCCTAAAATTGTAGCTTTATCATGTTGTAACTGCCTAAGGTATAAGATCTTACGCAGAAGTCACATCACTGTCTACATCGGTTCATATCGTAACAGTTACCAATTTATGATGGAGAACATACTCAGGCTGGAGATAGAACAATACATTTAATATCAGTAAAACAAGTCATACAGAATGATCACGCCTGAAAGGCCAACCCATGCCACCCGATGATGTTAGCACGTCTATCACTATTGACCTTCTCTTAGTGTTATATGTTGAGATTCTTTTTTCCCAGTTATCTTACGTTCAGCTTTGAGGATTGTGGTTAGGATCCGATGCCAGTACGACTTCATGGTGATGTTAGATAACATTTGATATGGGGTCATCTGAACTGTTATAACGTTTGAATTCACTTTGAACTTGTGTTTCACAATAACAAAGTTTTCCATCGGAAACAATTACACTATGAGGACAAATGACATTTGATGTGATATTATTAGGATTTGATACATATGAAATATTTTCATGAAATTTATTAAAAACATCATTGGAGAACTATGAATCTTTAGCAAAAAATCAGCATCAGATTTCCGACCATGATTTATTTCATTCGACATACTCTTCTCAGTTCTGTAAGGATTTCCATAGAAAATATGTGAACCATTAGGAAAACCAATATCTGGTATAATAACATGAGAAATCTGATAGGAGGTTGATTAATTAAAAGCTTTTATCTTACAAAAATTTTGAATTTTCATTTGGTACACTTGCATATAGTGTGTTGCTTCAATTAATCTTTGAATACGAATCCCTTCAACTTTCTCAATAAATGTCGCGTGGAACATGAGTTTGTGTTTTCTAGAGTTTGGCTGTTTTTGACTATGGAACCAGAGCTTCATTTACAAAATCTGTTTCTTTGTGGTCTGGTACTGCTACAACTTCATTTGCATTTAACTTAACATCGTCTTACTGTGAGGTGTACATGTAAATCACTGGCATAGATGATCTGTATCGAATGATTGGAGGCCTAATTGAGTTAGATATTGACATTTATGTCGTGATGAAACGAAGGTTGCTTCTGAAGGTTCGAGTTGAAGTGATGGACATCATAAAGAATGTTTTTGTAGCTGTGGCATCATAAACTATCGTTTTTTTTCAGTCCCCATACTGATCCTTCATTTATTAACCAGTCTTTTACCGTATTGATCATCAACATTGATGATTTTTGTCGAGTGATTGCGGGGCCAATCGAGTTAGACGGGAATGGTGTACCCAACAGATATCGTTGAAGTCACACCTCGCGGTCACCACGTAGTGTGGATTGCTCTTTCGTTGTATCACGATACTATGGATGCTTTGAAGACTGTACAACACAAAAGACGTTATTACAGGAATAAAAGTAGGTTCAGGCGAAAATGTGATCACAACCGCATGGGCCAGTTCATGGCATACGATTGTCCTTGGTCCTGACAGGAATCGATGATATGTCCGATATTCAGTGATCCAGTTTCCGGATGATTTGGTTAGCGCTCAGTGACATTTCACTGACACTACAACCCTCTTTTATTACCACAGTCGAAAGGGACACACTTACATCATATAAATTCAAATTATGATGTCAACAAAAATAATTTTTATCCCTTAGACAGTTTTATTATAATCCAAATGTACTTTGTTTGCTGTGGTAGTGTGATAGACAGCTTTCATAGGAAAGTTTGGATTAGTGGAAAGAGTCAGTGAAAAGCACTAAGCTGACGACTCTATCAGCACAACGAATAGCCCACACTCACTTTTCAGATCAATTAACGAAAACTAGTGACAGTAGGATAAAAAGATGAAAGCGGTAGCTAGTGAGAAATGTTTGAATATGTTACAATACATCAGTTTCAAGTTCGCGGCATTGGTTGTTCAAGGTAATTCGCAGGCGTTGGTTTACTTTGCGAAACCTCGGATATGAGTCGTTGATATTGTAAGCAGTTTCCTGAGTTTCTTCATTATCTGAGAATAGATCAGTTACGTTTGTTTTATCTAAACTTTCTCGAAAACCTTTGGATATTTTGTATGCATTTTACTCTTTACCCAATCAACCAATAAAGGGGATCCCCTTTCGAAACGTGCCAGAATGTCTGCTTTTTCGTCTGTCCGGGGGAAATGATGTGGATTTCCCCTTTTTGTCGCATTGTCGCTCAAATGTCGCTGGATTGTCTACTTTTCGCCTAAGTATCCGCTGAATTGTCTATTTATCACCGAAATATACGTCGAATTGTCTACTTTTTGCTTAAATTTAGGCTGAATTGTCTACTTTTGTTCCAACTTTTAGAACACCATTGGCATAGCCCCAAAGGTCTCCCATGTTTGCCTTTATCCCCGCAACAAACCACACTAAAACTGCAATCCACGGGAAAAATGGTATATGCTTAAATAAATTTATTGAAAAGGAAAAGCGTGTTATTGTACAACACTGCAGCAGAAGCTTGAGCATCAATCGTTATGCATTTTCATTGTAATTGCCGATTCATTGTTATTTGAAAAGGTCTCCAAAAGAATAAACAGGTGATGCATTATTAATAACACTTAAATAGTTTCCCATGTAAGTAAGAAAGTAGGCTCATTTACAAAATAATGTTTATTGAAAAATAAACAGAACATAAAATACACTTTGCGGATTAATCCTTATTGAGAATTAAAATAATCTTCCTGTGAATTCTGAAGTGTAAAGAACAAAAGAAGTTACATCGATATCTGAATGACATGCTTTGGCACAGCCAGATACTTGAAGCTTCACTTACGGTTATGTTGGTTGACACTGTTGACTGTGACTATAAAGCAGTAGGGAAGTTATCACTTTCAATTAGTACATACCTGTTCTTGTTTCCTATTACGCTCTGACGTCGTGAAAATAACCTTATGTCGCAATATCGTACAGTTTCGCCAGGTCTTTCCCGTTGACAAACGATGACAAAAAGCGATTTGTTAATGCACCTGAAGTTTAAATAATAGTTATAGGTTACATCGTATACAGCCGTAAAACCGGCATTTCTGAAGTGCTCGTTTTGAAGGAGTGACAAGTAGTGTGAAATTACTGGCAACCTCAGGTGTCATGAGGTACGACAAAACATATCGCATTGAGGTTTTATGATCATTATCCATTAACCTCGTTACCATGGCCATCTGGAATACGAACAACTTATAAAATTAATGTTGTTGACTTACAAATCTGTCACTGGTTTCTTTCTGCTGCAAACCAGTGTCCAGCATCTGCAGTTCCTCATCAGGTGGTAAAGGGAACTGCTGAATCGATAGTCCGCAGTCAAATTGATGCGGATGTTCGCGTTCACTGAACTTCGCTAGTATCAGCTTTACATTTGTACTCAAGTCAATAATAGCTGACGACATGTTCTGCACCATTATATACAACCTATCAAATCTGATAAACTTCACGTGATCGTACAGTTGACTTACTGGGCCGCTGAAGCACTACATGCTTAGATTCTGACGTTGACGGTGATGTATCTAATTGTGTCGAACTACTTCATTAACATCTAAATGGTAATGAAACGTACTTGGAAATTGGCGAGGCAACTTTGCCAAACAACCTAAAGTTCGGATATTGTACGTGGCTATTTCCAGCCTGCATCTCGGCAACATCCATGTCTACTGAATTGTAAAGAAATCCTTCTTTACGCTTCAATGCACCTCTAGGAAATGTTAGTAAGATTATTGTACTGACCTCTTGGGCTTCTCAGTGTTGAGTGGCAAGGTGTTTTCTTCCGATAGAGTGTTTTTACGATGAAGCTCCAGTATTTGGAGGGAAACTGACATATCTTTTGCAGACTGCAGAGAATCTATAGTAAATTATAGTTTCTATGTTTGTTACTCACCGATTTCGTGAATTACTTTACATTTCAAAACTGACCAATTGTCATCTGATCGGTCGCAGTTTTGCAGGTGGATATAGACCAGCTCCGTTGGAAAAAGGCAAAGTTTTTTTGCCAACAATCCACTGCTTGGCTGCTATCATAAGTTGTTTCTTGCTAGGAACGTCAACAATGACGTATTGTTTGTTAGCGGGCTAAACGTAACATAAGAGGTAATGAAATGGTTTATTATCATGAATTAAGCACAAATGAAGCAAAATACATTCACATAAAAGTATACAACAATGGGACTATAACTAAATATTTGATACAACTAATGGCTATACATTTAGAGTCAATGTCCTTAACCGATACCCATGTGTGTTCATGGCTAACTACGGAGCGCATAAATATTCATATATCACTAGATGGGAAATGATCTTCGAAGTAATTGCGTGGGTCAGTGAAAGACCTAAATTTTAGTAGTCCATCGTCCCCTATATCAGCGACTAAACCAGGTTGTCCGTTTACTACTACAATATTATCAGGCTTAAATGAAGTTAATCTACAATTCTTAAACATAATTACTTGTTTATTGGAGACCTCCTTAGCGACTATTGGGGTAGTATTAGTTAGACAGCTAACCTGAAGCCTATCGCAGAAAGACATCTCAGCTGCTTGTTTAGCAACAACATACCCGCTATGCACAGATTTCTTTGTCTCATGTAAGACTCGAATGGAAAGGCTGAAAAACTATCTAAAGGTCCATGTGCACGAACGTCGTCAGGAAGGTGCTGTAACAAATGAACATTGTAAACTAAGTTTTCAGACCCATAACAACATTCGTATTTCTTAAGAAAGTTTCGTAAGTTCCTCCTGACGGATTCTACATCGGTGACTAAACCAGGCTTTCCGTGTACTAGTACAACGTTATCCGGCTAAAATGAAGTTATTTTAGTATTCTTATGCATAATTACTTGTTTGTGTGAGTGACCTTTACCGGTTATTGGGGTACTATTAGTCGAAATGCTCGCTTGAAGCCCATTACAGAAACACATTTTTTCCGCATAACTCTGAGCTGCTTGCTTGGCAACAGCATAAATTCTGTTCACTGATTTCTTAATTTGTCTCATATAAGACTCGAATAGGGAATCTGAACAACTCTTTCAAGGTCCATGTGCACGGAAATCGCCAGGAAGGTGCTGCAACAAACTAAGTTTTCAGATCCATAACACTATTCATATTCCTTAAGAATGTCTTTTAAATCAATTCCGACGGATTCCTTAACGCTATTATGTAATTTTCAATTTTCTAGTAAGGAAACCGAAGAAACAATCGATACTCTGAAGCTTTCCATACTGATATCAAGTCTAGTGTACGGCATTTACGCTGAAAGTCGGAGGGAGTACTTACCACGCAACTAGATATTAACTTTAAATATGTACTGTTTCTTAACGTAGATTGCAGTTTTTGTGTGGTGTGTTATGGAAATAAAGGCGAACATAGGGGACGTCTGGGGTTATGCCGAATATGTGTTAAATGTTGAATCAAAATTAGATAAATCGGCGTGTATTTGGCGAAAAGTAGACCATTTAGCGTATGCTTAGGCGAGAGTAGACAATTCAGCGACATAAATTGTAAAATCCGCATTGTTCTCCCCGATTAGGTAAAAAGTAGACATTTTGGCTCGTTTCCCCTTTGTTGGTCGATTGGATGCTTTCTGACTGATGTACACTAAGTCGCTATGTACACTCCAAGTAAATTTGTGGTATCAAAATTCATGAGTGATGTGACACTACCTATCCTTTGTTTCACATAACGAAGGGGGCTGAAAGAATGTGTGTACACCCAATATATCTTCGTTGTCGAAGGTCGTCCTCTGAAATCGGTTTTTATCTTAATCTCCCTATTTTGGAGAAAATTTGGTCAATTTTTGGGTTTTCCTAAAATTCGTGAGAAGTTTGGAAGTTTTCTCCAAATTTATGGGGAAAACCCCAAAGTGTTATAAGTTTCTGAGTGAATATTTGGGAAAATCCAGAATTTCTCCAAAATGTTTTGGATTTTCCCCAGACCTGCTGAAAGTTTGGGGGTTTTGTGCCGTTTCCCCAAAGTTTACTATTGTGGCTTCCCCAAACTTTCCTGAAAACGGACAAAAGTTTCCTCGATATAGGGAGATTGGGATACTCCATCATCAACATAAGTGTTGGCAAATCGTCTGTGAACTAGAACTTTATAAGTATGAAGACTACTACCTAAGTATCGTAAATATTTGCAGTTCTTTTACTGAGTTGATTTGATAGGTTGCATTTTAATCATTTAAATGTTAACGTGAAGGCTTCAGTTTGATAAATTTCTCCTATAAAGAAAAACAAGAATTTAACCAAACATTCCCTGTACTGTTAACACATTTTACGTGTCTTTTCCTTGTTCATTTTGTGAAATAGCCTTTCGATTGTTCACGATGATATATATATAATTTTTATTCCTGAAATCTATGTTAACGAACTAGTGATTTAGAATGATTGACTCAGTAAAAAGATAGTGATTGTCTATTGTAGCTTGTTTATTTATTTACACTCATAGATATTGGTACAAAGGGGCACCGAATACAGGTCACTAAATCTGTGTTAGCTGTGACACTACCCGGATGCCCAGACCGAAGCAGATGATTTTCTAAGGGCGTTACCCCCGGAGCGTTTGACCTAAAAGTATGATCCACAAGGCAGTGGAGCAACGTCAGGAGATTCAGTTCCATGGTATCAGGTGACCAATAATAGGTTCATACGCTATTTTTTCCTCAGAATCCTGAAATCTATGTGTACCATTGGTTTAGAATCAGGGTTTCCCAACTTCCTTAGGTGAATCCACCAACCCGGTTAAAGCGTCGGACATTGGCTTTTCGTCCTCTCGATTTCGTAAACAACACCTCTGGTGCTAGAAGGCAATTTGTAGAACTTCCCTGGCAGTAACTGTGTACACGTGGCCATGTGAGAGCATTTGGAGAGGGAGATCTGACTCTCCCCACTCACGGCCATATCAGGACATTTAAAGGGGCTACATTTTTTAAAATCACTTTTCAGCTTATATCAACTTGTTATTGAAAATCTGTAAAGACTTATAAGGTTGCTCAAATGAAACTAATTTGTGTTTATTTTTCACCGATTTTATTGTAGATAATGACGATACATTGATAATATCCAATGTTATGCTCTCTCTCTCCCTTTTGCCTTTCCATCTATCTTCCAACTTTTAAAGTAGAAAATATTGAACAGTTCGTTTCATTACTTCCTTACTTTCTTTGTTTATCTATAAAGAAATGAATTTTTGTCTTCTCATTTATTTATCCTTCTGGTTACATTCCACCTATTGTCTAGCTCAGGATGAACAGAATTTGTTCTATCAGTTATACAATTTATTTACTGGTAATCAAACATTAACTAATATTATACCATCCAGTTGGTTAGATTATCTTATTAGTTTGCCTGGATCTGGATATTTCATCGCATTTGTTTATTGGTTACGTCATCCACTTCTTTTATGTTTTCTACTTCCATTTTTATTAATCTTTTTTATTTATTTCACTGTCATTTTACTTCATTTATACCATTTACGTTTTTGGTTACGTCGTCATTTAAATCGTTTATTGTCCAAGTTCAGACAGTCGTCAACTTCACCATCAATATCTATATCATCTACTAGTCACATATATTTAGATTCACTAGCAGAATTATTACGTCGTATTGTTGCTGCTGTATGGGATGCCCATGGACGTATATTTCACGGTTATGAAGTAATTGGTATGGAGAAATTACCACCAAATGGACCAGCTTATCTAGTTTATTATCATGGAACATGTCCATTTGATGCATATTATTTTACATCGAGATATTGTATTGAAAGAGATAGGTAAGAAATTCCTTTCATAAGTTTTGTTTTCTTTTGTCTCATGGATTGGAATCAGTTCATCCAGTCAAATGTAACGTAGAATCTGTTATATGTGAGCGTTGAATCAAGTTGCTACACCACGCCATCATATCAGAGTAAAACTTTAAGCACTTAGGAGACTTTTGAAAACTACCTAGTGACGAAAACCATCAATTATGCTAATCTTCACTAAACCCATCAACCGAACTGTAGTCTTATCTTCACTCGTAATTGACTTTGAGACGAGTCCCAGCGGAAATTTGTCTGCTGCAGTTCCGGCATGTTAAAAATAACATAGTGATCACGTACAACCTTTGCGCTGTTAAACATTGTTTGAAGTTGGAAATTTAGATCATTAAATTTCAGCTCATTGATTATGACGCTAAGTGCTCTATATGACCTCTGAATTTCTTGAGTTCAACCCTTAGTGGTGCTGTGGCGGAGAATGCTGAGCTCCGTCATAGGACGAGACAAATGTTCAGTGCTTTTTGGTTTTCAGCAGTTGTTTAACTAATATCTGTCGGTAATTTCGAACTGCAAAGTTCAACAATTTCCAAAAGTACCCTATGCTAAAAATATTTTTAAAAATATATTCTAATGTATTTCACTTGTAAACGCTGGCATTTTTAGTTTCATAATATGAATTCTCTTACAAGTACTCAGGTATATCTGGAACTAAAGACGACGAGATTGAAAAGTCGAATGCTTTTCATCGAACCCATTTTGAACATTCTGTAAGTACTTGTAGGTGGTATTCATTCCTTCGAAGTATCAGCTGAGGTCAATTCGTGACATTTATCATGTACAGACTAAACTAATCTCCACAAAAACTTGTATATATATTTATACTGAATCGCTTGAATTTATGTATAACCTATGGCTTTTTGGGGAATACAATCAGTTATTTTACATATAAATCAGTCAATTAATTGCATTCCACTACTAGTCGAGTGAAAAAGGTGAATGATTTCGTTTGAAGATGGTTAAGACTTGTACTGTTTATGTTCATCAATATATCACCTGAACTCACGATGATGGCTGCTGTAGGAGCAGGTTGGGGGAAAGTCAGCGACTGCAAAACCGAGACATGGCATTATTTCATGAAGACACTGACAACTGGATTGAGCCATGTGGGTAGTTGCATACTATGTAATTGTAGTCTATGTGATTATTGTGACCAATGGTTAGAGGCTTTGGGTGATACATGACTTTGAATCGTCCTTTGGTTTTTCAATTCTCTATAAAGTTTTATTTTATTTCACTAATTTATGTTTTCTCTAATCGTATCTTCGATGCCTGATATTTTCTATAACTACGACTACCACTTATAGATTCGCCCTGACGATTTCATCTCATTGTTCCTATGGAATATGACAACTTGATCTGATGTACATATTTGCCAGGCTCTACGTTAATAATGATTAACTATAGAGCGGTAATAGTTAGGACACTTTACATTTATTCGAATGCTAATCTAATAATTATTTCGGTTTGTAAAATCTAATAGTAGTATCGGCAGACCTCATATGTAAAATTTAGATATAATGTTAGTATTTCCATACCCTAGCGTGCCGCTCCAAGTCAAACATAGTTGATGAACCCAGTAGGCTCTTCTTGAGAAAAAGCACTCATGGAAGCAGGGCGATATTACCGGGGCGCATTAGTTTTTGCAGATTTTTGTGTTCCTGGTTTTACTTATTGTCCAGTGATGATGGACCATCTATGTACCACATAGCAATGATTGGTAATTCTTTTTGAAGTTGGTAATTTTTTGTCGCGTCCAGGATATGAATATTCATCTAGGTCATTGTTTATTCTTGATATTGTATTTCCGGTTCTTCTAGGTGCTCGAATTTCTTGAGGGTTTTGGTTTAGTTGATTTGATTTGAAATGGCATGAGTTGATGTGTCTTTTGAGCCATCCTTCATTTTTGTAGGTTTTTGTACAATCTCCTAGAGGACATTTATACTCCCCTGAGGCATGAAGTCTGTTTTTTTCTCGTTGCTGGTCATTTCTGTTATACCTATTGTGGCAAATAGTCGCTTACAGTTACTGTCTCCGCATTTTTATATCAGGTTTTGCTTGCCAACTATTTTCAGATTATAGTCACGTAGATTTATGAGTTTTGTTAACCATTTTTGAGGGAGTTTTTCATCAAATCGGTCCAGGTCATGTGTTAATTGTCGTGACTGGCTTTTACTATATGCTGGTCTTCTGTTGTTTGGCTGTTTAAAGACCAAATCATTAAGCTATTTTGTCTTTTATGTGCTGCACTCCACAGTTCCAGCCTGTTTTGTAGTATTGCTAGGTTAAGGAGGTCTATGCATTCGTGTAGTTCATTAGATGTAAGTGGTCTTTTATCATTGATAACCAAAATCATCCCATGAGGAGTATTAAAGACTGCTTTTAGTCTGGTCAAGTCTTTTTTTCCTTACGAATGTGGTGTATGCTACTTATGCTTGCAGACTTTAGTAGTATATAACACCAACTAGAAGTGAAATACTTGCAAATAGGAGGTTGAGGAGATTAAAATGAAGCGAAGAAATAAGAAAACTAAAAGCAATCAAAATCACAACAGGAATAAAGAAACAATGAAGTATTTAATGTATAGTTTTCATGTTTTTTGAAGGCATTTTGTAATTATGCATAAAACAATAAGTTGGTTTTCTCCATCTGAGTATCCGTAACCCATAGGTTAAGATAGGGGTTATTGAAGTCCATCTGGACCAGCTGCCCTTCCTCGTTTCAGATTAACTATAGCCTTTTGAACTTCAGCAAGAGTTGGGGGACCTACTTCAATGTCCCATTCACACTGTCTGGGAATGGAGCGTAGTTGTAGAGTAACTGAAGGCCAGTTGAACTGTTCTCTAAATGTTCCGCCATCGTTCTAAACGTCTGGACTGGGAGCAGATGAGAGTATCGTCTTTTTCCTATATAATCTCACTTACACTTGACTTAATAATTCCAGTTTCCTTTATTAGTCTGTAAAGCTATCTTGTGTTCCCTATAGTCGCCGGCTTTTCCATTTCTTTTGCTTTCATTGCCCACCACTGCTCACGGTCGTTTCTTAGACTTTTTCTTAACTTAGATCTGATTTGTTGTCGCTCTTCATCATGTTCGGAACCTGATTAGACGAGTTTGCGAGAATCCATCAGTGTGATAGACTTTGAAGAAATCCACTGGTTCCTTGCAACTCTGTGGTTTAAGTCACTAATAGATGTCACTGCTGTTCCGTTCTAATGGTTCTTTTTAATGTGGCTTTTTTGCGTCCAGTGAGGCGCAAGCAGATGCGGGCCCGTATTAGGGCGTGGTCGGAGTACAAGCAGGTACTCCAGAATGAGCGACAATCTTCTACCGACCCTCTCCAACGATGACTGATGGCAATATAGTCTATTTGAGTTCATCGTTGGTTTGGTGTAGGGGGTCGCCATGTTAGACGATGTCTTTCCTTATGCTTAAAATTTGTGTTCGCTATAAATAAGCGATTGTCTGAGCAGTTGCAGCAGACGGTCACCATTATCTGTTCGCTGTGCCGGAATGCTAAAATATCCACCTAAATGCCTTTCTGTTTGGTTTAAACTACCTATCTAAGCATTAAAGTCACCCCCTATGAGTACTATGTCTGAGCGTTTAGCTTTCTGAATTGCTAATATTTGTGCAGCATAGTATTGGTCTTATTTCGATAAATGTTGTCTTAGCTTTACCAATATTGGTTAGGATTGCTTCATCAGGAGTTCCATCGCTTCTTAGCACTGATCCTAGATGGTTGAATGTAGTCACCTCTTCGAGTTTATGGTTGTTGATGGCTATTTTAAGTGCATTGCTTTGTTAGTTCATTACCATGACTTTGGTTTTGTCATAGGATATTTTTATTCCTAGCTTTGTTGTTAGGTGATTTTAGAGGGAAGTGGGGGTTTTGGTCGTTTCTTCAGTGGCTGTAGTTATTTGACATAGATCATCAGCAAATTCTATGTACGATAATGTTCAGGTTGTATTGTTTTCGTCGGCCAGGTCAAGGCCCGATATGGAAGAGAGGCGGGACTCCTTAATTCCCTTTTGTACGCTTCTATACATAGTGAAGTGTAGTTGTGTACCTTTTTTGTAGCCTTTATTTCCATCTAACAGCTGGGTGATGTTTCGGTTGATATTGTTTGAGGGACATAGTTTTGTAATGTATCTAGAATCATTTTATTTGGTAATAAGTTGAAAGCTTTGGTGAGGTCAATGGAAGTCAGTATTATTTCTTAGTTGGTATATAATTCACCTTGTATTATCTCTGATTGCTGTGACTGCATGTGTAATCGAAAGACGTTTTCGAACTCTGAATTGATTTGGAGGGGAGGTTTTGTTCCGTTAAAGCTTTTAGTCTCTCGCAGATCATTCCAGCATATACTTATCCTATCGTATCGAGTAGGATATACTTCGATAGTTGTTGGAGTTATTGCATGATCCTTTGTTTTTGTATATGCTGGTGACATCTGTGTCTAACCAATGAATTGGGATTTCGTTGGGGTTTTTCCCTATGTTATCCATTATTTACAGTAGGATTGTTTTTAATTTCAGTCCTCCAAATTTAATCATTTCTGATGTTATACTATTGTGGCCTGGGGCCTTATGGTTTTTCATTCGACATATAGAGTGTTCTAATTCAACCGTAGTTAGGAGAGATTCGGTTCTTCGGTTTGTTTGACTTCAATTCTTCATGAAGGTGGAAGTTTTAGAGTTAAATAACGTTTGATAGTGTTGTAGAAGTTTGTTGTTGTTTTACGACTGTTGTATGATTGATTTTAAATGGTATCCAATACTTCTATAAGTAGTTTGCATGTTTGATGCTGTTCGTTTCCCTGATAAAGAGTATTTAGTTTATCCATTTTGCCTGGAACACTGGTTCCCTCAGGTCTTATCATACCTCCTGCTTCGGTTTGGGCGTCCGGGCAGTATCACGGCCCTCGCAAAAATCATTTGATTTGTGCGGCGCTTATGTGTTTGATGCCTCATTGTACCAATGTTTATATATTAAATAAATAAATAAATAAATCTTACCATATCGGGCAGGTTGGTGAAATTAAATGAAGCGACTTAAGGTTCGAGAGGGAAGTTGTACTGCTGATTGTAGAGGGCTGTGACAGTAGTAAGTTGCTTCCGTCAGACAACTAACATCTGCAGTGGAACTACCTTCTCACAACGGGAAGAGAGAATCAAAAATGCCTTCAAGGCTTAAGTTAGCTGTGTGACTAAATTTCACAATTTTATATATATATAATTCATCGACTAGGTGTATAATGTCGTAACTTGTTAAACCTTTTTTGTTTTTAAAAACTTATTTCATGTGTTTATGTATATTTATGAATTTCTACAGATTTCCTGTTCCTGTTGTAGACAGATTTTTATTTCGTGTACCTGGACTTGGACGTTTATTAGAAACAGTCGGTGCAATTAAAGGTTCTGTTGATGAATGTGTCGCTCATCTGCAACCAGGTCATATTCTCAAAAGTAAGTTACGCTATAATGTTTTCGTTAATTTAATTATGTGATACGATTACGCTTAGTTGGGATGTGACTATCGTAACCAATGGTTGGAGACTCTGGGTGACATGACTCAGAATCGACCACAATGTGCTAGGTGTATACACTCTCTGTCTTCCCTTAAACTATGAGATTAAATTCGATTCATATCTTTCGTTCCACCAACTAATTCTTTTTTTCTGTACTATATCCTTATATACAATCTTTCTTTTATATATTATCACCACTGAATCAACTACTTCTATGAATTTGGTGTTCATCTTGTTGTGGTAATGAGGTATGGCAACTTGAACCGATGCATATATGTGTTTGGTCCTTCGTTGAAGTTGACTTACACTCAGTAATCCAACTGGTCGATCGATGATTAGATCTGAACCAAAAACGAGTTTGTTAACACAAAGTAAAAAGGGTGAAAAATCGGAGTAACTCAATTCATTCTGTAAATATTTGTGTACTTGGCTTTGAGTCATACAGAGCAAGAAAGCTACTAACGCTATCCGATTGCTTAAATCAAAATAGGTAATGTAATGTTCGAACCATTGACTTAGTAGTCGAAAGTCAGACATTTTAATCACTGAACCACCGCTCCATTCAGATGTCTGTTTGCACTCTTTAAGCAGTTACTAGTCTATTAACTTGGACATATTGACTTGATGATATTTTCATATTCTCATTTTGATCGTTCATATTATTTTGTTGCCCATAGAAAACGATCTTTGAAGAAGGCAAAGAATAGTTTTATGGGTTGTTATATCTAAACACAGGATTGGTTAAATGTGGTGAAACCATCCAGTGAGTATTATTACTGATGTTAGGTGTAGATTAATCAATAGAGACAAGATATTATCAATGTATACAGTTAGCTAACCACTGAGCTGTTTCAATAAGTGTGAACCTCCTGTTTGGACTTGCGACGTAATAAATAATTGAAGAAATTGAGTAGTAGTATGATTTAAAATCAACCACAGTAGCTCTATTACATTCATTCGTCATCTTTTTCCAAATAATGAGTTATATTTCTCTTTCCAACTGTACCTCTCATGTTTAGACTTTCATTGTAATTGAAATTAGTTCCTCTTTGGGTATGGTGATCTGATGTGTGGCAATTTGAACTAATATACATCCGTGCTAGATTCTATTTTGTTAATGACATGGTAACAGTCCATTAGGTTATTGATTGTTAGAATTAGCCGTTTTAGTAGATCTAGTCTATCTCATTTAGGTCCGTGCCACAACCGCGATCAGTGGTTACAGACGTTGGGTGATAGGGCTCAGAATTGGGTGTATTTGTACCGATAAACTCACTATTTATCTTCTGAATCGTCATTCTCAGAAGTTATCCATATACACCTTTTACTTCTGTCTTCTCAAGCCATACTATCATTGTTTATTCTTCCTCGTTATCATTGCTACTAAATTATTTTGGCTCCTTCGCTATTCATTGCACTGATTTAATATCGTGCTTAGGTGGTATGTTAACGTTACTTGATCTAGTATAGATTTGTGATAGGCTTACATTGATAGACACTAATTGACAATAGATCGAAATGGTGAATCGGTTATAAATATTCCTCAACTCAAGTGATCGGAGTGGATGTGTGTTACGCATACACAATTACCGTCTACTTTTAATCACATTATACTGACTATTGTAAGGGTTTGTTGATAAAACGGATAAATGTCTGAATCACGACGTTTCACCAGTTTGTCTTGTCAATGAGAGTACTTTACATTCACGATTTCTCACAGTAACACATCATAGAGTTTGATTTGTAAAATGTTCTGATGAGTAAAGTATGTGATATTTTTATATAACTAAGTAACAGGGAATTCCTGAGTTCGATTGTGTAGAAAATCGTAAACGCGTTCTGTTGAGTAATTGTAATGTAACCTTCAAATTTCAATACATACATATTGGTTGTTTGGATCGGAAGATGCTTGGTTTGAGTGACGAAGTGAACATCAGCTCTGGGATGCAGGTACATCCAGCTAACGAGTTCCAAGCAGGACCAAGTGCACATCTTGGATTCCCTTACTAGCCACCATCCGTATCTGATTGAGTAACTCTCTACTGTTTAGATCGTTTACTAATGACATCCCCATTAGTAATAATATTCAATTTGCCTTCAAAAAACTGAACTAATTACTTTTTTGCTAAGGAGTTGGAGGTGTTCGATAGGGAACTCTGTTACACCTAGGTTTTGTGATAATTTAGACGGGTTAGCCCGAGTGATTAAAATGATACCGTCCCAAATTATGAAACTGAACCTATCATGGGACAGTTTGCTGGAGGTTACAGACAAGCTCTACTAAGAACTACTCACTAACTCGAAACCTAGATCCACGGTATCCTACTGATTAATTTCGACTACCTAATTCCTCTGCTTAGTGAATGCAATGTTAGGTAATTTGAACTATTAACCAGTACACTGCAACTAAAAAGGACTAGACAAATGTGAAATTCACTTGGTATTGTTTGTTCGAATCTTCTCATTGATGTTTAGGACTGCGATTGATCAGTCTCTTATTGGCATGTGTGCATATTGCGTCTTGCCTCGATATAACCTTAATTCACAAGTATTATAAGCAAAGATGGATAATGGCTATCAGTGGAATCAAGATGCGCGTTTCGTTCTATTTGGAACTCATCAGCTGAATGAACCTGCATCTCAGATTTGATGTTCACTTTGGGATTCAAGTAAACAATATCAAGTGAATTTAGATTTCACCCCATTGCACAAGCAAGTGGCTATCAGGACTCGGTAGCTAAGTAGATAACGCGATGGCGTTTGAAGTGAACGGTACTGGGTTCGAGTCCCAGAGTGAACATCAACTCTGAGATGCAGGCACATCCAGATGAAGAGTCTCGAATAGGACGAAACGCGCGTCCCGGATCCCACTGCTAGCCGCTATTCATCTTTGCTTATAAGCATGAAGTTGTTCATTATTAAGTAAACAATCAACGTAATTATTTGTAGTCTACATTATAGATTAATTTTAGCAGGACAACTGTTTCGAAAAAGGTCGTATCCAAAAGCTGTTTTCCTCCTCATATGAAAATTAGTTTCTTTTATGAATTTAAATAAAGCCAGAGCGAACATGGATGTAGAATAATATGAATTCATTATATTTTGTGGTTTATCATCATTAGCTGCTTACAACCATTGATATGTATTGGAAGTTGACATTGAGGTAAGATATAGTGTGGAAACAATCGACATAAGTGAATGTAAAGATCACTATAGGGTTGTGGAGGTTATTAAGTTTTTGATTGAGATCATGAACTGACTGATGTTAGATCCCGCTCAGAGGATCATGGACGCGCACTGTTGAGTAGTCATATAATAGGACCAAACGGCCGTCTAGTGCTTCTAGGTTCTCAAGGGTGGCCTAACATTAATCTGTTCGTGATCTCAAGGTTCAATGTTTATTTTTTTCTATTATATATGTAATTTTAATAGTTGAAATCATGAGTCAATTGAAACTAGACCACTATGGAAAACCTGGGAGCACTAGATGGCTGTTTTGATCCTACTGTGAAACTTATGATCCCAACTATTAAAATTACTATATAATATCCACAAAACCCCCATCTGTTGTTATATATGTGTTTTTTTCTAACCTTACAATTAGATGGTAAAGTTTCACAAGGTGATGTATTATTAATCTCTCCCGGTGGCGTTAGAGAAGCTTTATTCTCTGATGAATTTTATACAGTTATGTGGGAGAATCGTCGAGGTTTTGCACGTATTTCTTTATTATCTGGACAAGTAAGTTAATTTATGAGGAATTCTTTAATGATTTAAGCAATAATTAAGTGTTAATTAAATAGAAGGTATTAACTATATATTGTAGATTAAAAGTGACTCCTGTAAATGCATAAAATTAAACAAACTATATGTATTTAGTAAAGTTAGATCATAGTCTGCAGTGGAATCCAAGATGCTTATTTCATCCTATTTGGGACTTATCAGTTGAATGTACCTTCATTCTTGAGATCATGTTTGAACCCAGTAACTGTTACTGCGAACATCAACGCGTTATTCAGTGGTAAGTTTCGAATAGGATAGAGCACAAGTCCTGGATTCCATTTCTAGCTACAACTTAACTTTTACTAAAAATTAATGACTATGAATGAGAATCCACCCTTAAATGCCCTGGTGCGGCCGAGGGTGGGAAGAGTCAACTCTCCCTCTCGAAATGCTCTCACATGACCACGTGTATACAGCCTCTGCAAGGGAAGTCCTAATCCCTACCTTCTCGCGGCGGCGGTGTTGTTTATGGAATTGAGAGGACGAAAAGCCAATGTCCGACGCTTTAACCGGGTTGGTGCATATGGAGGATTCACCCAAGAGAGTTGGGAAACTCTGATTCTAAAAAAATGGTGCACACGGACTCTAGAATCCTGAGGGAACAAATGGCAAATGAACCTATTGTTGGCTACCATGGGACTGCATCTCCTGACGTTGCTTCACTGCCTTGTGGCTCTCTAAGAAAACCAACTGTTCCGGTTTGAACACCCGAGCAGTATTCCAGCTCTCCTACAAATCGAATAATTTATGTGACGCATATATTTGTATATCAATGTAAGTAAACTCTTCCAAATAAAATTTGATATGTGGTTAGTGACAGTAAAATGTTATTAGCCATTTGATTGTGAACTAACTGCTGTGAATTCATTGGCTGCAAATTGATTTGTATTTGTGTTGAGTAACATTTTGTTTAGTCTCTATTTTTTCTTCTCTATATTATCGTTATCAGTGAAAACCCGGAAGTACTGAACAACCATTTTGTACTAGTATGGAACTCCTTGGCAGCGCACACCGACAACTCTGGATATATCAGTCAGTCAGTCAGTCAGTCAGTCAGTCAGTCAGTCAGTCAGTCAGTCAGTCAGTCAGTCAGTCAGTCAGTCAGTCAGTCAGTCAGTAACAACGTAGAACTTCGTACGTTTGTTATTTAAAGAGTATAATCCAGTGAAATAAATTTGGAAAGAGGAAAAAAGGGACATGAAGAATTCAGAAGATTAGAATTTGAGAGAACACAAAGAGTGGACGCACCTGCGCCATTGCAAACGATTTTGAGCCATGTCATTCAAGGTCTCTAACCATCTAATCATCTCGTGATCCCCAACCAGGTAGTCTACACCTACCAACATGGCTCAGTCCACTTGTCAGTGACTTCATGGATTTGTGCCATGTTTTGGTCTGGCCGCCTCTAGCTTTCTTCCAACCTACTCCTATACCACTGAACATAGCACGTCGAGGTATTCGATGGTTGAGAACACGTAACACATGTCCCAGCCATCTCAACTGATGAAGTTTCACTACTTCATCAATTGATTTGCCATCCTTACCTAGTACCCGTTTCCTAACAACTGTGTTACTTACTCGATGGTCCCATGATATACGAGCAATGTCATGTGAATTCTTTCGATCAAGGTGATTCCGTGTGAAACAACACTATGTGTTCGTGTGTATAATGGTGGGCGTAAAAAGTGTGCAATTTGTAATATAAAGGAGTAGAGTTGAAATTTGAATATATGTTGGTGTCTGTACGTGTATTAGTTTGTGGGAACTGTATCTCTATACATCAGTATTCCGATTGATAGATATCTAGAATTTATTAATGATTGATGAAAGAATTCGAATATACAATGTAGAAGACGTCCATTAAGTATTAGTTCAATCATGAAATCTCTCAAGTTATGCTTGAATCCAACACTTCACTTTCAAAGGGACTTTATATAAACAAACGAACGGAGTAGCCATGAGATATCCAGCATATTCGATTGTTACTAATTTATTTATGTCCCATATTGATATGTTTATTTTCGCCAATATCATCAGACCACACATCTGGCTTCATTTATTTATTTGAACACATAAGTATTGGTACAAACGGGCACCGAGTACATATGCGCCACACAAGTCACTTGATTTGTGTGTACGTTGTGATACTGCTCGGGTGCCCAAACTGAGACAGGTGGTTTTCTTTGGGAGGGGCACACCTGGAACCTTTTCCCCAATGGTCTGACCCATAAGGCAGTGGAGCAACGTCAGGAGATGCAAACCTATGGTAGCCGGTGACCAGCAATAGGTTCATACATCATTTGTTCTCTCATGATCCTGGAGCATATGTGCACCGTTAGTTTGCAGCGAGAGTTTCCAAACTCCTCTAGGTGGACTCTCCGTGTCGACCAACCCGGTTAAAGCGCCGTACATTCGCTTTTCGTCCTCTCAATTTCGTAAATAGCACTCCAGTCGTGAGAAGGCAGGGATTAGGACTTCTCTGTCAGTAACTGTATACACGTCGTTATGTGAGAGGATTTGGAGAGGGAGAGCGGACTCTTCCCACGCTCGTCCGTATCAGGGCATTTGGGGGCTATAAAATGCGAACGGATGAATAAAGGCTATGTACATGTATTATGTATATACTTTGTAACTTCTTTTACCTAATACCTTCTGTACAACAAGACGTCAATACAGAATCTGAGCTATCTGAAATCTCTCAACCTATCTCATCCTTTTCCTGTAAAGTTTTCCTCTTTAAATAGATATATGCTGGTTACAAGTGGAAATAATGAGCTGATTGATGGAGCCATAAATCTTTAATATCTAACTTTTTTGGATAACTATTACATACATATTATTATTGAGAAATATGAAACACTGGAATTGTAACCTCCAAGTATGTGTTGTCTTCCTATACATACTGTTTGTATATATTGTCAATCAGTTAGTCAGCTAAAACGTAGGACCAGGCACATATATTCATCGGTCCGAGTTGCCATATCTCATGAGCACAACAAGATGAACACCAAATTCATAGAAGTAGTTATTTCAATGGTGTAATATATAAAAGAAAGATTGTGTATAAGGATATAGTACAGAAAAAAAGAATTAGTTGGTGGAACGAAAGATATGAATCGATTTTAATCTCTTAGTTTAAGGGAAGACGGAGAGTGTATACACCGACGCCATTGTGATCGATTCTGAGTCATGTCACCCAGAGTCTACAACCATTGGTTACGATCGTCACGCGGACCCCAACCAAGTAGTCTGCATCTACCAACATGGCTCAGACTAAAAGTTATTGACTTCAAACACTGATGCCACGTTTCGGTTTGATCGCCTTTGTATATATTTTACAGATTTACATTTATCGTAGGCAACTATAACGTATCAGAAAGTTTTTTTTTGAGATTGTAGTAATTTCAATAACTGAGATCACGAGTCAATTGAAGCTAAGACAACCATGGAAAACCTGAAAACACTGGAAGGCCATTTCATCGTCCCATTGTAGGGGACTATAATTTTCTGTTTCTCCCGTCTATTGTTTTTCTTTTCTTTATTTTCAGCCTATTTATCCAATGTTTACAGAAAATATTCGTGAAACCATAAGAATTGTACAATTTGGCAAAGGTAATATAAAAAATTATTCTTGATAAAATTATTAATTTTATCCATATAGGTTGGTGGCGTAGCTTATATGAAAGAACACGATTACCGTTAGCCATATTTTATGGTTATTTTCCTGTTAAACTTAGGTAAGTTGATTTGTATGTAATAATTAGATGCTCTTCATCAGTAATTAATTCCTTGTGTTGATTCCCGACGTTTTAATATTTTCGAAGCCATGAACAGTCAGTAAGGATGAAAACTTGAAGAATAAGGTTTTAGAATGATTTTATTAAAAAAAAATAGACAAGGATTTCTCTTTTCAGTTACGACTTACCAATGAACATCATAATTTTTGTTCCATAGTGTGTAAAAGTACAATGTTTTGTGAAAATGTACAATTAACGACTAGAAACTTACTTACTTACGCCTGTTACTCCTCGTGGAAGAGCAGAGGCCGCCCACCAGCACTCTCTATCCAACCCTGTCTTACCCAATCTTCTCCAGTTGTTATTCATCTTTTTCATATCTACTTCTATTTCTCGACGTAATGTTTTTTTTCGGCCTTCCACTTTTCCGCTTCCCTTCAGGATTCCAAGTTAGGGCATGCCTTGTGATGCAGTTTAGTGATTTCATCAATGTATGTCCTATCCATTTTCATCGTCTTCTCCTAATTTCTTTTTCAGCTGGGAGCTGGTTTGTCCTCTCCCACAGTATACTGTTGCTAATGGTATCCGGCCTGTAGCTCTTCTAAAGTTACTGTTGGTCCCAAGTCCGGGTAACGAAGGAGGTTTGGGAAACGATTAGAAAAAAAGCATCTAAATACAAGGATAAAGGTTGAAATGAATGATCATAACATACCTTTTAAACTTTAGTCCTGACTATAATGAAATTACAAAGTGAATAATGTCGACAGTATTCGGCACAGAAGTGACCGTGAGTCCTAATCGGCTGAAATCCCTGGGATCTATTTTACACATTTCAAACTGACATTCAACCCCATATATCCTGGCTATCAAGTCATTGGTTGATGGAATTTCATGGTTGAGATCCGCTGGCAACTCCCTCTTGTTGTGTCGATATGTGTAGGTTCTGACATCCTGGGAGTCGATGTTGATTTATTTACTGAATCCTGCGTTGTTCATAGGTGGAAACAGATATAGTTTACCGCATGACATAAAGATCTCAGATTGAATCCGTGGTTGTGTCATGTCTGCCCCCAAATGCCCTGGTACGGCCGAGAATGGGGAGTGTCAGCTCTCCCTCTCAAATGCTCTCACATGGTCACGCGTATATAGCCTCTGCCAGGGACGTCCTACTCACTGCCTTCTCGTGGCGGGGGTTTTGTTTACGAAAATGAGAGGACAAAAAGCGAGTGTCCGGAACTTTAACCGGGCCGGTGGACATGATGAGTCCATCTAGGGGATTTGGAAAACCGTGATTCCAAACCAATGGTGCACATGGGCTCCAGTATCCTGAAGGAACGAATGGCGTATGAACCAATCGTTGGTCACCGGCTACCATGGGACTGCATCTCCTTACGATGCCCCACTGCCTTGTGCGTCAGACTTTCAGGTCGAAGGCTCCGGGTGTGTCCGCCTAAGAAAACCACCTGCTCCTGTTTGGGCACCCGGGCAGTATCACAGACCCCACACATATCAAATAAGATTTGTGTGGCGCATATGTATTTGGTGCCTGCTTGTACCAATATCTATGTGTTAAAATAAAATAAATGTGTCATGGATATTGGGTTTAAAATTCCCATAATAAAATCAAACAACTATTCGTTGCTCCCTTCGTATTCAATAATATTCTTAACTGATTTCATTCTGTGACAAGTTCTATCTACAAATCGTCTAATTGATTTTTTTTTGGTTTTATGCTTCGTACATTTCCATATTCGGTCAAGTTTCTAACTTTTATATGATAATTACCATGTGCTCACTAGTCACTAGCTTCGTGAGGGAATTCTCTGAGTTCTAGTGAGAAACCGTGACCAATAGAGCTAATCCGTGTCAGTTAGAGACAGGTATCTACTTCAGTACAGTGGAGGATGGTCGCGCAATTTCGTGAATTGGTTGAAGCTAGACATTAACACCATTGAATGCCTTCTCAGTGGTTTAGAGGTTAAGCGTTCACGCGTGAGACTGAAGACCCTGGGTTGTAATGTTGTAATCGGGATCGTGTATGTGCACTGCTGAGGAGTCCCACAATAAGACGAAAAGGCCATCCAGTGCTTCCAGGTTCTTAATGGTGGTCTAACATCAATCAGTTCATGATCTCAATCAAAAATTTTTGTATGATTGTTTGCACTTTTCACATAGTACAATATTGTTGTTTTAATTTCTAGAACCTATATTGGTGATCCGATTTATCCATTGCCAAATGAAACATCTGATGAATTAGCTAGTCGAGTAAGTATTCATTATTACTAATTTATAAACCTAACTTCAAATTTTGTTATAAAATGAAACGATAGAATAAATCTTGATCAGCTTACATATACATGATGGTTGTATATTCGAATGTCGATAATATCCATGGGAAATCTTATCAGTTATACACAATGAAGAACCTGGTACATTCGTTCAAAGGTTCAAGTTATTACGTCATATCATCATAGAGTGATCCTAGGGTTGTATAAAAGAGTAACCATAGAAGTTATGACTCGAAGAAAAAGAATTAGTCGGATCATAAAATGCATAAGATACTTGTGAAATTCATGACTGAAATAAATATAAGGTTTCAGTTAAATTTTTGACATATTACCAAATATCTCTAAACATTAGTTACTTCATAGATTGATCTTGAGTCTTGATTTGGCAGCCTAAAGCTTCTTTCCAGCCTATCCATCATTGTGAGTTAAGATAAGCAGTAGTTGAGCATATGTGATACATGTTCTAACCATCTCAATCAATAAATACTCACTACTCGACCAAGCGATTTTATATCATTACCTTGGTACCATTCGTCTAACCTTATGATCACTCGCCTGGGAGAAGTGACTTACTCACTTGACGGTTCCAACAAGCGCACGCAGAGCTTCGAAGGCACCTGTGATCGAATACTAGTAAGCTACGGAAATCTATTTCTAATGGACATGTTACTGCCATAATTTAAAACAAAGCAAACTGCTGGGTAGTGCACTATTCCTATGGTTGGTAGGTGGATATCTCACCTACATCACAGGTGACGTAAGTTGGTAAAAGCTAATCGAGCTATCTGAATCCGTGTCAAGATCTTGTCAAACACTTACCCACATCAGTTGATTGGATTTCCAAGATAAGTGAAGTGGTCGACGTGCTTGACTACTCCATTCCTTGTAATCAGTTTAAATGATGGTGTAGATCAGTTTTGAGGCAACAATTTACATTTAGAGGGAGTGTTAGTATTTTGAGAATGTATATTTTCTTGTAAACTAGGATGGTCAGCAATGAAGATCAGTTAGTTGGGATTTTGCCCACTTTCCAGGTTGTATCTCAGTCAGTATAACTGTTATGACCTTGGATGGCTTTTACCCCGTGATACTTGTTATGACTTGACCTTGACGCACTAGGCTGAGTGGCCTAACCTTGAGTTTAATACGCGTGAGTTCGATTGGGGCTAGAGAGAACTATTCTAAATCCTGATTGGTTGGCAAGCACGCGAGTGAAAGAAGACAAGACAGTTGGAACACTAAACTCTGGATTCTCTGAATTCAGATTACTACAAAAATGTACATGAATAAATAAGTGAATATCTTGACCACGATGTACGATAATTTGGAAAAATACAGTTATGCCCGAAACAGGGAATTAGAGTAGAAAATATAGTGCAAAATATAATGTTTAAATTACAATATTTTTGGAACAAAAAAGGGTATGCTAGTGAATGATACATAGAACGAAAGCTCGTGTTATGTAGAATAAGATAGGGACAAAAATAAATATAAGTGTTTTACAGGTTTTGAATGAAATGCAATAACGTCCCAAGAAAATAGCTTTCGTAATTGTCTGGGCTTCTTAATTCCCCGTTCGTAACACCTTCCCCCTTTAAAAAAAAAAGAAAAAAAAATGGTTAGTTACTATATACAGGTAAGTGCTGAGATATCATCATTGATATCTTCCTTCGGAAACGTATGTTCTCCTCTTTGGGTCTACCTGTAGAACGTCTGGTCTTCTGCGTTTCCGTGATGCTTTCCTAATAGGACCTTGTTCATGTTGCGCAGTCTTCTGAGTTGCTGAGCATTTTATGTCGAAACTGTCCAGAATGATTCTCCACATTGAGCCTTATTTCTCGGTTTTCTGTGAAGTGCCAGCATTTTCCAGTATGTGGTTGACATGGCGTGTCCACTTCTGTCCTTCAACTTCCACCACATACATTACGTTCCCTCGTCTCTTAAGTATGCGTCCACTAGTCCATTGTGGAGGTGAATATCGGAAATCACGGACATATACTTTTTGATTTCTTTGGAAAATTCTGCGTTTCGCCCCTTGATGGCGATCAAATTGGTTTTCCATCTTTCTGTTTCTTTTTCCGATGTCATTTTGCTGTGGTTTCATGGCATCGAGGGCAGTTCTTACTTTTCTACCAAACATAATTTCTGCTGGGGACATTTGATTTGGTGTTGATGGGTTTGGAGTTGTTCTGTAGACCAAGAGAAAGTCATCAAGAATCTCCTCTATCTTTCCCTCCCCTTTCGCCTTCAGTAGCGCTCTTTTGAAGGTATCTACAAACCTTTCGGCCTGACCATTCGATTGTGGATGGTACGGAGGTGAACGGACATGTTTGACTCCAAACCTCTTGCAGAAATCTGAGAAGATGGAAGAAATAAACTGAGTGCCGTTATCCGTCACGAGAACATCTGGAACTCCAAAACGGGAGAATAACTGCCGTAGCTTCATGATAGTCTGTTGCGAAGTGATTTGATTTATAGGAAAAATCTCCGGCCATTTCGAATAAGCATCAACACAAACGAGGAAGTACGTACCCTGGAATGGGCCAGCAAAATCAACATGTATACGCGACCAAGGTTCTTCCGGAGATGGCCGGGAATGTAGTTCAGCTTTTCGTGGACACTTAGAAACCTCAGCACATTTTCTGCACGCACGCACGAAATCTTCGATGTGTTCATCGATATTAGGCCAATATACATAACTCCGAGCAATAGCTTTCATTCTTCCAGTACCTGGATGGGCTGTATGCAGTTGTTTCAGGACGAGTGAGCGTAAGTTATACGGAACCACTACGCGATCAGCAACCATAATACAGTCATTTACGATGGATAAAGATTGGCGTCGTTGATAATACTGTTTCAGTTCATGAGATGTTATACGTGGGGGCCAACCACGCTGGATAAATGTAGATAATCGTCTTAAGATAGGATCGCGGCGAGTGTGTTCAGCGATTCGAGCAGCTGTCACTGGAAGAATTTGTGTTGAATTAAACAACATTCTACTTACATCTTCTTCCACTGATATAGAAGCGATAACAGTATCTTCGTTTTCAAGCTTATGATTGCTTATTAAGCGCGATAATGCATCAGCATGGCCAAAATCAGAGGTAGATTTGTATTTGATAACGAAATCATAACCCAATAGCATTGTAGCCCATTGTTGGAGGCGGTTTGCGGTATAAACTGGTATACCTTTCTTAGATCCGAAAATTGATAATAAGGGTTTATGATCAGTGATTAAGGTAAATTTTCTGCCATGCAGCATCTTGTGAAACTTTTTTACTGCGAAAATTAATGCCAATCCTTCTTTCTCAATTTGGCTGTACTTGCGTTCTGTTGAAGTCAATGTTCTGGATGCATGTGCGATAGCCTTCTCTTTGCCATCTGGAAACTTATGGGATATGACGGCACCGATACCATAGTCAGAAGCATCTGCAGCAACAACGATTTCCAGCGAGGGATCAAAATATGTAAGAAGTAGATCCGACGTTAATAATGACTTCACTTCGTCAAAACATTTTTGACACTTGGTGGACCAATTCCATTTTACATTACTGGATAATAATTGGTTCATGGGTGCCCGGAGGCGATGCAATTGTGGCAAGAAATTACTGTAATAACTGATAAGACCAAGGAAGGAACGCAGAGTTGCTACATTAGATGGGGGAGGCATATTTTGGATAACTCGTACATTTTCCGGATCCGGGCGTCGTCCATTTTTGTCGAAAACAAAACCAAGATATTTCACCGAGTTCATGAAGAATGTACACTTCTCTTCTTTTAGATAGAATCCACACTCAGATATTTTGGTTAAAACAGTATCGAGTCGATTGAATAACTCGGACTTACTGGAACCTGTAACGATTACATCATCCAAATAGACAGCGACTCCTGGCAAATTAGCCAACATAGTGTCCATTATTTGTTGAAAGATAGCTGGTGCTGGTTTCACACCAAAAGGTAAACGCTTATATTGGTAAAGACCTCTGTGGGTGTTAATCGTCAGTAATGGTTGGGAGGCTGGGTCAACTTCTATCTGGAGATATGCGTCAGCCAGGTCAATTTTAGCAAAATACTTTCCTCCATTTAGTTTGATGAATAAATCTTCCTGTATGGGAAGTGGATACGTGTGATCTTCTAGAGCATTATTCAGACCAGTGGAAAAGTCAGCACATATGCGAACAGTTCCATTTGCTTTTCTCACGACCACTATGAGAGCAGCCCACGATGAATAATTTATTGGCTCAATGACACCTAGTGCTTCTAACCTGTCCAATTCTTGGTCAACGACTGACAGAGCAGCATAAGGCACTGGTCGTTTCGGTCTGAAAATGGGCTTTGCATTTTCCTTTAGTGATAAGGATACTTTGGTGAATTTACAACAGCCCAGTTTGTTTTGAAATACACATGCATGTTTTTGTCGAAGATGGTTTATGTAAGATACGGACGACAATTGAGAGGAAACAGAAGACTTTGATGTAGACATAACATTAGAACGAAGTACATGAGATTCCGAAGTTTCACTAGCGCATACTTTGTCTGAAGTATTCGATTTGGAAATTTTATGAGAAGGCAATAAATCGGCGGTATTTGATTTGACATGATGAGAACACATAACATTTGAATTGTTTGATTCAGAAAGATCATAAGAACATGTTTCATCAGAAGCATTTAATTCGTTAATATCCAGAGAGGATGATTCGTCGGAGGCATTTGATTTAGAAATATTATTAGGGATTTGAATAGACTCATAGGAAACATTTTGAGAACATACCTCATCTAATAATTTATTCAAAGTATCAACATGTGCAATCCAATCTAATCCCAATAGATCTAAATCGTGTCGATTTGTTAGATAACAAACATCTGTAAATTTACTTCCCATAAGTTGAATATTGCATAGAACCTCTCCTGTCAACTTCACTATGTCTCCTGAAGCATTTCGGGCGACATGTTCCGTCGGTCGGATGCGTGGGCATC